GAATCATTTAAGCCAAGTAGGGCCAATGCTTTGCCCACATCGACACAATTCTGCTCTAAGCAACTGGGAGAATAGGCTTAAGGTTGCCTACTGGCCACAACTAGTGTTGGAGAAAAACTAATTTTAAATTTGTATCATAATAGAAACTTTGGACTCACCAGGCACCCCAAGTCCCCAAATCACATTTTGATAGAGAATAGGAAATGCTCAGGCACCCACATTAATTTCTAGAATGTCTTTCCCTGGATTGGATGATTGCACTTTACTCAGAAGAGAAAATATGACTTAAATCAAGATTTCTGAAAAGCTGGTCCAAACAGCTGGTATCAGTCTGGTGATGTTTTTAGCAGTGCAAGGTAAAATGAGAGAGAGAAAAAAAAAGAATAGTAGAATAAATTTAAATACATTTGATTTTTAAAAAGCTGTTCAATTTCTAAGGCTGTGTGCCTAAATCTATTTTAAGTGTTACTATGTTCTTTTATGAAATGGCAGTGAGAGACAGGCGGCAATGTTTACGTTTGTTTTGGCTACAGACACATATAAGACGGCCCTATAGGTATCTCCACATTTTTGTTTTAAATGAACAGGTCTGTGAAATGCGAAGGCCTGGTAAGTGCTGACTAGAGAAAACGAACTCGTGAGTGCTCAGCTGGCCACCATGCCTTCCTCTCAAGGCCGCCCGAGCTGGCGGTGTGCCCAGGGTGCCGGTGTCGGCCGTGCCACCTTCCCGCTCGGGACAGCGCCGGGTGCTGCCTCCCTGTCTTCCTCACACTCTCCTAATGACCTCAATCAAGGCTTCAGGAGAATTACAAGTAGTTCCTCCTTTTTTTTTTTTTTTAGATTTTATTTATTTATTTTTAGACAGAGGGGAAGGGAGGGAGAAAGAGAGGGAGAGAAACATCAATGTGTGGTTGCCTCTTGTGCACCTCCCACTGGGGACCTGGCCCTCAACCCAGGCATGTGCCCTAGACTGGGAATCGAACCAGTGACCCCTTGATTCTCAGGTTGGCACTCAACCACTGAGCCACACCAGCCAGGGCCCGAGCAGTTCCTGTTAAGAGTCTGGAGACCTCTGGACACCACCATGACCAAGGACAAGTGAGCCTGGGAAAGCAGCGCGATCTGAGCAGCAGGAAACCTGCAGGCCCACTGCGTACTAGCTCTGCCACCTCAGGCAGGTCACGCAGCATCTCAGAGTGACGGTTCCTTCTCTTCTTGCTAAATACCCTCTGCCCTGGCCGTAAGGGCTGTTGTAAAGAGCAAATAACATATTTACAGGAAAGTATTTCTTAACTGATAAAATCATCATTATCTTACACAGGCACAAGTACCAATGTAAACAAATGAGATAGGCCGGGGATAAGAAAAACAGGGCAGTGATGTGCTCTACACCTACTGCCGCTGTGTCTCGGGAGACAACCAGGCACAGAAACTGAGGCAGGGCAGAGTGTCCAGTGTCTCAAGCTCAGGGCTGCTCTCCAGGAAGCAGGGAAGCCTGGCACAACCAGGGCATCTGATTTCCTAAGAGAAACCGGAGAGCCAGCCTCACGTTGTGTGTTCATGAAAACTCCTGATTATTTAATGTTTGCAACTATGTCAACAATTTAAAAACCTGGCGCGGCCATCTCTGACAGGCCGCACCGAACATGTCTGGGGGCTGAACCTGGCCCAAGGCGCTCGTTTGCGACTTCTGATTCACACACGCCTCCCGCCGCTCCGAGTGCAGTGGGAGACCTAGGGCTGCCGATCCAGACGTCCCGCCGGTGCTAAGGTTTTCCACCGGGTCCTCCGTGCACCTCCACATGTGGACACTGTAAACGATGCCTCTCGTGAAAAGCTAACTAGGCCTTGAGCGGGTCCAGCAGGGTCGCCATCTGGGAGGCCTCAGAAACGGTGAGTTGTCAGCACTATAAACATTTTAGTCTTCGTGGAAGACGCTGACTTCTTCTAAACTAATCGCCTCTGCCAGTCAAGATTTGCCGTAGGAGTTCAAGAACAAGGCATTCATTTAACAACAATAACAAAAACAGTGAGGATGAAAACTGGACGGCCATCATAATGAAAGGCCTAGAAGCAAACTGTGACTTCCCTAATAAGGCGACGACCGCAGTTGGCTCCCTGGCGGTCGAGCGCCGATTCAATTAATCAGTCTGTTTTCAGTTTTCTCACGACAGCAATATTAACAGTTTGCTTTATTCTGTTTATACGGTGCTGACAAGTCTTCAGCATGTTGGGCCTACTTGCTGGAGATTAATGGCTACTCTTCCACTGAGGTAAAACCCAGGCAAGAAGAGGATGCCTTTTACGACTAGATAAGAACTGGACTTTCTTTACTCTTTTCCGTTCCCCTACTGCACATCAAGCTCTCTCTCTTTTAATTTCTATCAAGGATGTGTAAAGTCAGTTGCCTCCAGCAGTTTCTCCTCACTGTTTAAACTCCTCCACTTCTGCCGTGTCCGCCCGTGACACAAAGGGAAGCTGGGATGTTGCTTTTAGGGAAGCTTATCATCTCTAAAGGTACATTCCGTTGGAAAAAGTCGGATTCCGTATAAAAGTGAAAGGTAGGCAGGAGATGACCTCTGGGGACCGGATATTAGCATGTTAGGTGGGCAACGGTTCTCCTTTGTATTTAGGGTGATTTTGGTGGGCAGGGAATTGATACTAAGTATGGCCCGGCTGCAAGAAGTGTGGACACATCCCAGAAAATCTCTTGGTCATCTCTCACTAAATTGTCATATTTCAAAACAAGTCAAAAAGACTTTAAATAACTCAGGAAGACCAGCCTCCCCCTCTAAGCGCCCCAACCAAAAGCTGTACAAGGAATGCTTGTCACTGGTATATTTTGCTCTGTGCCAGGTTGGAAAGACATAGTGACCTCAAGCATATAAGTACAGAGAAGCTAAAATAACAATATTAATTGTTTGTGTGTGAAGTACAAGATATTTGAGTGGGCAGAGCAATATAACGAACTAGAACTGGGCAGATGTTGAATTGCATACTTTAGTAATTTGTCTCCTGCGAAGGGTCAATTGGAGAGGGGAGCACCTCAGTGAGACAGATGCGACCGGTATAATATCCTGAGTCAGGGTGCTGGGCCGGATGTGAGCAGGAAAGGAAACATTTCAGGCTTACCCCAGAAAGTAACCAAAAAAGATTTAGAACCAACTCAATCTTTTTTTGACGGATTAGGTTTATTCTTTAGTTCATTTGTTCATTCAACAACTATTTTTAAGGTTTTCAGATGGCTCCTACACTGTGCTAAGTAACATAGGGAAGTAAGAAAAAGAATTTGAAGATGACTCCTTCCTCAGAACTGGGCTCCTAGCCATTGTTCAGTGGTCGAAAGTGACACCGCAACAGCCATCCATCCAACCCGCCTTGTGTCCATCTACCCATTTGACACCGACGAAGCATCTACCTTGTGCTAGGACCGCACTACATAATGGTCATGAACAAGGCCAGAGAAGAAAAATTGAGGGAAAGAAAAGAAACACTGTCTTCATTCTCGGGAGTACAGCCTTGGGAGTGCCTTCTTTCTGAAACTCCCACTGCTTTCCTGGTGGTCTGGCCATAGGCACAGTACATGGTAGTGACCCACCAGGCTGTTGGAACAGCACAGGTACTCTCAGTCATCCATATGAAGGGAGGATCTCCTGTTTTACTTCTAAATGTGTGCCCTGTTTGGCATACTTAACCAAAGTAAAACACTATATCAGAAAGGCATCTAACATAATTCCCATGTGCAGATTTTAATATTGCCTATACATACAGGCACAAGAAAAACGAGCTTTGAGGAAAGCCAAAAGGTACTGAAAATAATAGAAGAAACATACTGTGAATGTTAAAAATCTTGGTTGGTAAATTAGTTTGAGACATAATTCTATTGCCCTTCAGGGAAAGCCCTGATATTTTTAAATTAAGATTTGCCTAGACTTCATAAGAACAAATCCTGACCACTTGCTAGTGCTTAAAAAAAAACAACTAGGTAACAGAATGACTACCACTGAGAAGTATTTCGCTTTATGGCAGCTGCCTTTTCATTATTATTTTATGAGATCTTGTCTAGATATTATGCATTCTTCACTACCTACATTTAATTCTTTTCAAGATGTTTCTTCAGATGCCTGAAGTTATGTCAATGTCTTGGGATCTAATTGGATCTCAAAGAGCAAACGGTTTTAATGCTTTCCAAAGGTTCTTACACACGTAGGTGCACCTCCAAAATCCATGACTAATATATGCTTTTGGTTATTTCTATTAAAACAGAAAAAATTAAAAGGTATTTTTAGAGACTTATGAACACCATCAACAATTATGTCAAGCATAAGCTAGTCTGTGTATGCCACGAGTGAGAATTTAAATGCCAATAAAATCTAACTGTAAAAGAAGGAATTCAATGACAGCAGGCACATTTCACTTCAATCTGACGTTGAGGACCCGAGCCTGGTATGGGCTTGCGCGTACTGTGAGCTCTGAGATGACAAAGCCCTAAGAAAGCACCCAGGCCTGCTCTCAATCCCAGCTCTCCCGCCTGCGTCCCTTACCAAGTGTCTTTCTGTGTGGGAAATAGGACTTGAATAACCACCTACTTACATCCCACTGCGAAATGTTTTTAAGTTATGAAATATTTCCAACATGCTTGGTTTTACTGGTGATACATAGGAACTGAAATGGGAAGAAGTGTAAGACACCGCAGAAGTGATCCATGAAGACACTGCCGCAGTCATCATTTCAGTTCCCCTCTCGGTAAGAGAAGGCGTCACCACCCTGGGAACTTGATCGTTGGGTTAACAGCCTGCACCGATGCTGAGATATTGTTTTCATTTTGCTTGGCTCAACCTGATAGAGGGCCTTGGAGGAAATGTCAAAGTTGAGCCCAGAGGGAGAACCACAGAATTCGAGACAGTCTGCGTTGGCAAGGCCCTTGGAGATCGTCGAACCACCCTCTCGGGGCAGGAAAGAAAAACAAACCGGAGCCATCTGACATTTATGACTCTTACCTGCGGCGCAGATCCTCGGCCACGGCTGCCCGGCAGCTGAACAAATAAGCTCGCAGAGATTTCAGCCGCTGCCGCAGCCGCACCACGGTGGCCAGGGGCTCCGAGTGGAGATACAGCATGGGGTTTTCCTGCTGGATGTCAATCAGGGGCTCTTCATACACGTACTCCAGAAACTCTTTGGCCTGCTTAGACACCTACAAAGTAAACGTCCTCAATCAGTTCTGGTGCGTCATCCAGCCTCCCGCACCTCCTCACACTACGAGCCATAGCTTAAATATCAGGCAAATGAAGAAGCCCATTTAACTAAGTACAAGTTTTGACTTCTCTTTCTCTCGTCTAGAACCTCAACTGGTAAAAGTAACCTTGGCATTGAAAGGAACTCACTAATTCTGTTTCCTGATTACATGATTACATGAATCTACACAGGTGATAAAATGATGCAGAACTACACAGACCTACTATACTAATGTCAATTTTCTGTTTTTTAAAAGTATTATGCCTTAGTTATTTAAGATGTAACCGAAAGGGATAACTAGGTGAAAGGGATACAGGGCCACCCTGCACTATCCAGGCAACTTTTGGTGACTGTTTAATTATTTCAGAATAAAAAGTAAAAAATAAAAGTAAAAAAAGGAACTGACACTAATTTTAAATATATATACATATACATGCATTTATATCTATGTATATATATCTTATAATGCTTTTTATAAGTAGCCACTTTCAAAAAATAGGTAAACCAGGCACACATTATACAATTCAAAAGGAATAAAAGAATATTTCAAAAAAGAAAAAAATATATGCAGAATAATTTCAATGCATAGAAAACAGGCTCAAACACACACTTTTTATTTTTATTTTTATTTTTTTTATTTATTTACTTTAGAGGGGAAGGAGAGGGGGAGAGAAACATCAATGTATGGTTGCCTCTAGTGTGTCCCCTGCTGGGAACTGGCCTGCAGGGAACTGGCTTGCTACCCAGGCATGTGCCCTGACTGGGAATTGAACTGCGATCCTCTGGTTCGCAGACCTGCACTCAATCCACTGAGCTATACCAGCCAGGGCCTCAAACACACACTTTAGTGAGCAGAAAGGAGTCTTTCTGATTAGAACAACTTTGAATTTGGGCTGACTCTGGCCAATATGTTCACCCAAGTCTATCTCCATCTCTGGTAGTAAATGATGAAAGTTGATTGTAAAGTGTCTTTGTCATCAGCAGAAATAGAGTAGAAACATAATGCATCCAAGAGACAGGGAATGGCTTAAATAATGCAATAACACACAGATAATCCGTGGGAATCTGTACATTCCAATTCACAGAGACGTGGATTCACGAGTGATATGCAGAGTGGGCCCCGATTCTATTTATGGAAGGTGGAATCCCTTCAAGTTTCCACCAATACCTCTCATGTACTGAGAGTGAGGCTGGAATTCATCACAAAAACAAACAACTTCACTTATTAAAGAGAAAATGGAAAGAGCACTGTGTTTCACACTCTAGGCTAGAAGCTTATTAGTGAAGTTAAATAGAATACGGTCCCTACTTTCAAGGGACTCACTGTTTAGTACAACAGACAAATATTTAAAATAAAATATATGGGTGGCACACAGCCTGTCATCTTCCGCCAAAGAAATACGGCTGCAGCCCACTGGTAGCTTAAAGCGGGGAGACATAACTGCGCTGGCAGAAGGAAGCCAGGAGCTAGGGCAGGCCTGGCAGAGCAGGTGGCATTGGCTCCAGGCCTGGGAAGAGAAGCAGAAATTCACTTGGTGGACAGGGACGGGGCAGAGGAGAGTACAATAAGCAGACACAGCCATGAACACCCAAGATCACGAAACGTATGGCTACTATATATTGATTGAAAACATGTTTATGAAATTCTATATTTTATTGTGAAGCTCATATAAAAGTTTGTTCCTTACAGAGATGCAACATATGCATCAACTCTTTTTTCTAATAAAAGTATCGATTTTTCCTTAAAGGCAATTATTTTGAGGTAGCTGCTGTGTTGGTGTGATCCTCTGGGGTTCTGCAGAGTTACGGAGTTAAGATTAATGAAGCCCCCAGTCTCTGTGACTCCAGCCCACAAAGAGGCACGTAGAGTTAGTTCGCCAAAACCTTCAACTACGTTACTCGACTGCAAACAGCAACTGGCAGGGCTGAATAATGCCACACTTCGAGGCACAGAGCCGCGGGCACGTGCCGGCCACTGCGGTGAGCAGTAGGCACGCAGTGGGGAAGAAAACAGGTATGGCCCTGTCCTCACACAGCTCGCAGTTCAGTGGGGAAAGACAGAACTGGGGTTCAAATACATTTTTTAATCACGGTTAAATATTTGCCATATTTACATATCTTAAATGAGGGGAAAAGCAAATGGTGTTCTGGAAAATGAAGTACAATCCACTTGAAACTGTTGCTGAAAAATGATGTATTGTACAATTCAATTAGTCGTTCTGGCTCTATTGAGCAGTGTTTACACTGAGTCAGGGCCCTGCTGAGTTAGGTTAACAATGCTACCTTTTAGTAGGTGAACAGAAGGACAAAGGGCACTGGCCAGTCTTCCAGGCCTTAAAAGGCTTCTCTCTTCAGGTGGCACTTAAGCCCGAAAGGGAGGGGGAAAAAAGTCTTTTACAGAGACGGTAAAAGCAGTAAGACAAATGGGACAGCGGCTACTGACATCAGCGTTCATAAACCGAAATTGCCAAAAACAAAAACAGAGCTAGTTTCAATAATGTCTGAGGCGTTGCTTCACGAGGTTAGTAAGTAGCTTAAGAATACAGAGTGCACTGTGGGCCTGGCTGCCCGAGGAGGTGAGCAAGTCCCCGCGGAGCGAGAGCGAGCTGTCGGGGCAGCCAGGCTGAGCAAGCACTTCTTTTTGAGAGAGGGTCATGTACTGGTGAGGAAATGCTCCAGAGAACTCAAAATTTGGCGTAAAATGCCATTTTTGCCAAATAGAGCACTTTCCCCCTAAGTTCCAAATGGCTCTCTGCACTGGTATAAGGATTTCACTTTCAAACTCGACTGTGATCTAACAGCTTTTTTAAAAAAGAAAATGTTTAAATTATATATAGTTACTTAGGGAAGGAAGCCAATGACATCCTTAGGTGATAAGGTTTACATGACAGTAAGTTCCTTCCTAGTTAATATAAATATTACGTGAGTTATATATTACGTGAACCCCGTATATATTATATTACGTGAACCCCGACTGTATTTCACCTAAAGGATAAGAGCTACTGTCCCACTTCCTGCCAACCAAACACACGGAAAACACGAAAAGCCGGGGTGCTACTTGTGCCGTATATGAGAACTCAGCCCACAGGTGTGGATGGGTGAGCCCTATACTCTTTCTTTATCAGAGATTTTACAGGGTCATATAGCTCGCTTATTTATTGACCTATTAGTATTTTACTAGATAATGCTTAGTGCTTATTATTATTATCAATATAAATGAAATTCTTTCCATTGCTCTTCTACCTTGTGACAGAATAGTTGAAGCTGTAAGAACTCAAACCCGTGACTGTGTCATAGTTTGTGAACTGGTTCTTCCTTCGCAGCCCTGAGTCTCCATGAGCTGAGTGAGTGCAGGGGGAGGACACCCGGGGGGGGGGGGGGGGGAGAGGTGTCTCCCCCACCCCCACCCTTAAGGCACTGCAGCAAACAGGCCATAAGTAGCCATAATTAGTTCGAAATGAATAATGACCAAACCTGCTACATACACATATGTATTTACAAATAAACACATCATTTAATTTGAACATGAAGCATCCTTAGCACACAGAATTATTATTCTGGTGACAGCTACCTCTTTTTTTTTAATTTTTATTTTATTGATTATGCCATTACAGTTCTATTCCCCCTTCATTCCCCTCCACCCTGCACCACCCCACCCCTACCATTCCCCCCCTTTAGTTTATGACCATGTGTCTCAAGTTCTTTGGATTCTATATTTCCCATACTATTCTTGCCCTCCCCCTATCTATTTTCTACCTACCATCTATGTTATTTTCTGTACCTTCTCCCCCCTTCTCCTTCTCCCACTCCCCTGTTGCTAACCCTCCATGAGATATTCATTTCTATGGTTCTGCTCCTGATCTAGCTGTCCTTTTAGCTTGCTTTTGTTTTAGATGTGGTTGTTAATAACTGTGAGTTTGCTGTCCTTTCACTGTTCATCTTTTTTATCTTTTTTTTCTTAGATAAGTCCCTTTAACATTTCATCTAATAAGAGCTTGGTGATGATGAACTCCTTGAATTTGATCTTATCTGAGAAGCACTTTATCTGCCCTTCCATTCTAAATGAAAGTTTTGCTGGATAGAGCAATCTTGGTTGGAAGTCTTTGGATTTCATGACTTGGAATACCTCTTTCCAGCCCCTTCTTGCCTGTAAGGTCTCTTTTGAGAAATCCACTGACAGTCTGATGGGGACTCCTTTGTAGGTGACTGTCCCCTTATCTCTTGCTGCTTGTAGGATTCTCTCTTTCATTTTAATCTTGGCTAATGTAATGATGATGTGCCTTGGTGTGTTTCTTCTTGGGTCCAACTTCTTTGGGACTCTCTGAGCTTCCCGGATTTCCTGGAAGTCTATTTCCTTTGCCAGATTGGGGAAATTCTTCTTTATTATTTGTTCAAATAAGTTTTCCACTCGTGGGTGTTCCTCTTCCCCTTCTGGTACCAGATGTTGGAATTCAGATGTTGGAATGTTTAAAGATGTCCTGAAGGTTCCTAAGCCTCTCCTCATTTTTTTGAATTCTTGTTTCTTCATTCTTTTCTGGTTGGTCATTTTTATCCTCCTTCTGGTCCACTCCTTTGATTTCAGTCCTAGTTTCCTTTCCATTACTATTGGTTTCCTGTGTATTGCCCTTCATTTCAATTAGTTTAGCCTTCCTATGTTCCTCTAATTTGTGAGTAAAATCAACCAGTTCTGTGAGCATCCTGATGACCAGTGTTTTGAACTGTGCATCTGAAAGTTTTGCTATTTCTTCATCACTTATTTATGGGCTCTGGGGCTTTGAGATCTTCTTGAGCCATTTTTGGTCTGTTTGAGCCCGTTAAGTATGAGGAGCGGAGCCCTAGGGGCGGGGTGGGGCCTCCAGGGTAGGGTCGCTGGGTTGTGATACTGTATATGGGGGCAGAGTCAGAGCCGGGAAATGGCGGCCCTCTCTGCTGCCTGCTTTCGCTGGGACCTGCTCGGTC